CTGTCACATCCAGGTGGCCACTAGCAGAAGCTTGAGTAATGTGGAAAATATGTCTGTGCAGCTGCTGGCAAAGAAGCGAAGCTACACTTCCTCAGAAACAGTGTGACAGAGTTCCTGCAAAGGAATGCAATGTTGGCTGACTCGTAAGCAGTACTGCCACTGGTATGCATCCTCAAATCCAACCCCAACACTCCCTGGCTACATCCTACCCTGGGGCTGCATGATGGAGCTCATAAAAATAGAATGATTCCACTGTGGATCAGGTGCTCTTCTTTCCTGTCCCCCTCCCAGGACACATTAATGCTTAGGATGAGGATGGAGAACTACCTCTAAGGAAAAGCAAATGATACCAGAGGATAAAATAGGCACTGCCCCCTTCACTGGTTAGGGGCAGCTAATGAGGGCTGTCTCATTAGCTCAGTTTCCCCAGCTACCTTTGTTTCAAACTTTAGCCCTCAATTGTAGACTGAAGTCAATAGAACAATAGCTAACTACTAGTGAGATTAGTGATTTTCACTGTGCTTGGCTTACACAGAGGAATGCAAATATCTTTTCCTGGAAAGTTTTAGGACAGCTGATCAATTTAGAAACAAAATTCTATCTAGGGGACTGGAAGACTTTTTTTGTAAAGGGCCAGATAGTGTTTTAATCTTTGTGGGCCATGTATCATCTCTCTTGTAACTACTTAAGTCTGTAGTTACGGCTCAAAAGAAGCCATAGATAATATGTCAACATATGAATATGTCTGTATTCCAATAAAATTTTATTTATGAAAATAGGCAGCAGGCTGGATTGGCCCTAGGCAACAGTTTGTTGACCCTTGCTCTATCTGTTATACTGATGTTGCTATAAGAATGACCAAGAAACGATGATGAACAGAACCCAGTTGTTCTGGCAAAAGCAATCTACTATATTAGAAGCCAGAATAGTGGTTTCTCTTTGTTGAGTCTGAGGGGTTGGGAGGAGTATCGTATTTGAGAAGGAGCATGAGGAAGCTTCTGGGTTACTGGTAGTATTCTCTTTCTTGATGCGGATGATGTTTACATAGGTGTACTCAATTTGTGAAAATCCATTGAACTATGTGAGAATTCATTTCAAGTTGCATAAATTTCTGTGTCTATCTGGTACTTAAACTATTTAAAAAAACAAAGAAAAAAGAAGCAATATGTTCTAAAGGAGAAATCATTTTAAGAAAAATCAGGTGAAAATTCCTATATATAGAGTATAGGAGTTGGGCAAAATGTCTGTGGGTTCCCAGCTATGTGGTGAGAAGGACACAGGCCAATTCTTTTTTTTTTAGTGTCCTTGTTTTATTGTGATAAAAAATAATATAAAATTTAACATCTTAACCATTTTTACATGTATAGTTCAATAGTGTTAAATACATTCACATTGTATGTAACAGATCTCCAGAATGTTTTCATCTTGCCAAACTATAACTCTATACCCTTTAAACAACTCCCTTCCCTCCCCCCAGCCCTTGAAAACCACCATTTTATTTTCTGTTTCTATGAATTTGACTACTTTAGATATCTCATATAAGTGGAATCATACAGTATTTGTCTTTTTGTGGTTGGCTTATTTCACTTAGCATAATGTCCTCAAGGTTCATCCATGTTGCAGTATGTGACAGGACTTCTTTCTTTTTAAGGCTGAATAATATTGCATTTTATGTACATTTTGCTTATCTATTCAATCAATGATGAACATCTAGGTTGCTTCTACTTTTCGTCTATTGTGAATAGTGCTGCTATAAATATGGGTGTGCAAATATCTCTTTTACATCCTGCTTTCAATTCTTTTGCATATAACTCAGAAGTGGGATTGCTAGATCATATGGTAGTTCTATTTTTAATTTTTTGAGGAACCTTCATACTATTTTGCATAGTGGCCGCACCATTTTACAATCCCACCAATAGCGTACAAGGGCTCCAATTTCTCCAGATTCTCATCAACACTTGTCATTTTGGTTTTCTTCGAAAATTAATTAACAATTTATTGATCCATAATAGATGTACATATTTTCTGGATAATTTAACATAATCATATAATTTGTAAAGATCAAATCAGTATAATTGGGATATCCATCACCTTAAATATTTGTCCTTTCTTTATGCTAGAAACATTCAAATTATTTTCTTCTAGCTATTTTGAACTGTACAAAAGCTTATTGTAAACTATAGTCTCCCCTTCCCTCTACACCCCCCAGCCTCTGGTGACCACCAATCTGCCCTTTATCTTCATGAGATCCACTTTTTTAGCTCCCATATGTTAGTGAGAACATGTAATATTTGTCTTTCTGTGCCTGACTTATTTCATAATAACCTCCAGTTCCATCCATGTTGCTACAAATGACAAGAGTTTCATTTTTTTTAATGGTTGAATAATAATTCCATTGTGTATATGTACCACATTTTCTTTATCCATTCATCCATATGAAACAAGATAAGGAAGCCCACTTTTACCACTTTCATTAAACATAATACTGAAAGTCCTGGCTAGAGCAATTAGGCAAGAGGAATAAATAAAGGGCATCCAAATTAGAAAGGAAGAAGTCAAATTATTAGCTTTGTTCACAGGTGGCATGATCTTATACTTAGAAAAACCTAAAGACCCCACCAAAAAAACTGTTAGAACTGATAAATAAATTCAGTAAAGTTGCAGGACACAAAATCAACATACAAAAGTCAGTAGCATTTATATATGCCAATAGCAAACAATCTGAAAAAGAAATCAAGAAAGTAATCCCATTTACAATAGCTACAAAGAATATAAAATACCTAGGAATCAATTTAATCAAAGGAGTGAAAAATCTATACAAGGAAAACGATAAAACACTGATGAAAGAAATTGAAGAGGACAAAAAAATGGAAAGATATTCCATGCTCATGGATCAGAAGAATTAATACTGTTAAAACGGTAAAACTACCCAAAGCAATTTACAGACCCAATGTAATCCCTATCAAAATACTAATGACATTCTTCACAGAAACAGAAAAAACAATCCTAAAATTTATATGGAACCACAAAAGACCCTGAATAGCCAAAGTTACGGAGCAAAAAAAACAAAGCTGGAGGTATCACACTACTTGACTTCAAAATATACTATTAATACAAAGCTCTAGTAACCAAATAAGCATGGCACTGGCATAAAAACAGACACATCTACCAATGGAACAGAGCAGAGAACCCAGCTATAACTCTATGCATTTATGGCCAACTTATTTTCAATTAAGGTGCCAGGAACATACAATGGGGAAAAGACAGTCTCTTCAATAAATGGTGCAACCATATGCAAAAAAATGAAACTAGATTCCTATCTCTCACTGTATACAAAAGTCAAATAAAAATGAAGAGTTAAATCTAAGACCTGTAACTGCAAAAATACTAGAAGAAAACATCGGAGAAATGCTCCAGGATACTGGTCTGGGCAGATTTTTTGTGTAAGACCTCAAAAGCACAGGCCACAAAAGCAAAAATAGACAAATGGAATTACATCAAGCAAAAAAGCTTCTGCACAGCAAAGGAAACAATCAACAAAGTGAAGAGACAACCCACAGACTGGGAGAAAATATTTGCAAACTATCCATCTGACAAGGGATTAATAACCAGAATATATAAGGAGGTCAAACAACTCAATTGCAAAAAAAACCCAATCAATCATAGAAATGGGCAAAAGATCTGAATAGACATTTCTCAAAAGAGGGCATACAAATGGCCAAGAAGTATATGAAAAAATGCTCAATGCCACCCATCATCAGAGAAATGCAATTAAAACCACAATGAGATATCATCTCACCTCAGTTAAAATGACTTTTATGAAAAAGACAGGGAATAACAGGTGCTGATGAGGATGTGGAGAAAGGGAAACCCTTGTACACTGTTGGTGGGAATGTAAATTTGTACAGTCACTCTGGAAACCAGTACGGTGGTCCCTCAAAAAACTGAAAATAGAACTACCAGATAATCCAGTTATCCCACTACTGGGTGCATATCCAAAAGAAAAGCAATCAACGTACCGAAGAGATATTTGAACTCCCTGGTTATTGTAGCACTATTCACAATAGTCAAAATATGGCATCAATAATTTCTGTTATTTTGTAGTAGCAAAGGCCAATTTTTTTTTTTTTTTGAGACAGAGTCTCACTCTGTTGCCCAGGCTAGAGTGCCGTGGCGTCAGCCTAGCTCACAGCAACCTCAAACTCCTGGGCTCGAGGGATCCTCCTGCCTCAGCCTCCCGGGTAGCTGGGACTACAGGCACGTGCCACCATGCCCGGCTAATTTTTTCTATATATTTTTAGCTGTCCAATTAATTTCTTTCTATTTTTAGTAGAGACGGGGTCTCGCTCTTGCTCAGGCTGGTCTCGAACTCCTGACCTTGAGCGATCCACCCGCCTCGGCCTCCCAGAGTGCTAGGATTACAGGCGTGAGCCACTGTGCCCGGCCCCAAAGGCCAATTTTTTAATAGCCATTTATGGAAGTTGGTAAGGCTTTACCTAAATTATACTTTAAATATAAAGGCCTCCAAGAAAAGTACCTTCAATTCTTATTGAAACCTTATGTTTATCTTAAAAGACCAGCAACATTTTGATATGACTTTACCTTCTTCAAAGTTCATGCATTTGTTCAAAATTCCTAGCAAGTGAAATGCACAATAGCATACTAAAAGCAGCATAGCAAGAGGAAAAGTTTAAAGTTATGTTCTCATATCTTGTTTGAAATGCCACCCATGTGTGGATCTCCCAGAAAAAGCAATAATATGACTACTGAAAGACCAATTATAGGGTGAATACATATTTCATTAACTTTGTTTGGTCCCACTACACTGGGAGAACTGGGAATTGTACCAAATGGAACAAGTGGATTGGCATAGGTAGAAGCTAAGAACTCCCAGAAGCAATGACACAAGGAGGAGGAAAAGTGACGAAAGTATAAACTGAATCAGTGGAAGGCCAAACAGAGAAGCCCGGCTCCAGGAGCTACAACACACAGTTGGCTACCTTGCTCTTCCAGAAGGACTCGCACAGCTGAGTTTTCTTTTACTGTTTTTCTGGCGGCTTCTTCTTCTTCTTTAGACCACTGCATGTGATCCCTATTAAAAATTTAAAAGATGTAAAACATACTTTATCACTGAAGAAGGCAGAAAAGAGGTGACATGGGGCCACATCTTTCATTCTAGATTAGTCAAAGACAAATGATACACACTAATTCCATGTTGAATGAATACATTTTGTGACAGATGTTCCTACTGATGGTATGGGTACAATCCTGGAACTCCTACGGTTCTTCTGTTCAAATCTGGTTGTGCTGCAAGCCTCAGCCACCTTGGGAAATGGCTGCTGAAAAAGTAATGTCCTCAAAACACCCTGGTGCATGATTATTTGGGTGCTGGTACGGTTTGCTTTTTTCACTCTAAGCCCATTTTTATTTGCCTGTTGCTTAATTTATGAACAGGGCATTCTTTAATAGTTTTTTAATGCTCCTTTTACAACACTTGTATTCTAATAATCCGCTGTCAAAGAGATGCAAGTTTTACAATATTTTGTACTTATCTGGCAATTTTTACAGTAACTGTTTTTTAAAAAATTTATTACTTTTTAAAATTTTTGAATAGAGACAAGGTCTCACTCTCACTCAGTCTGGTCTCGAACTCCTGAGCTCAAGGGGTCCTCCTGCCTGGGCCTCCCAGAGTGGTAGGATTACAGGCTTGGCCACGGCACTAGGCCTAAAGTAACTATTTAGATTTGTTTTTCTTATTAGCTACCTTAATTTCTGTAAATGGATTCATTTACATTTAAATGATAGGGTACTTGATATAGCATATAAAAGGGTCACCTATCTGAGATCTGGCATTTTCTGTAAGTATTTTTAGTTTCAGAATTTATTCTCCCTATATGAGAAGATATTACTTTCTACTGCAAAAATGTCTTTCTTGGAATAGAAGCAACAACTGTATACAAAAAAGGGTGATTTTTTTTGGTTTGTTTTATTTTTACAAAGTTTGCATTTCTCTTTGCAATATGTTCGACTATAAGTAAGTGAAGCCATTTCCTGGAATAAACCATTTTTCTCTACAACAAAAAAATTATTATATATACCCTGTATTCAAGCTGCATATAGGCTACTGGTAATTATGAGAAAAGCCCCTAACACTATTATAATATATGGTATTTGTAGACACATGAGTGATAAGAAGAAGTAAATTATAAAATTCTTAGAGGTGTATCATTATGGTGACTGATAAACATTAACTGAGCAATTAGCATGATAATAATTACTACAATAGTAATTACCACCATTTATTATTACATAATTTTTTTTTTTTGGAGATGGAGTCTTGCTCTGTCACCCCGGGTAGGGTGCAGTGGCATCATCACAGCTCACTGCAACCTCAAATTCCTGGGTTCAAGCCATCCTCCAGCCTCAGCCTTCTGAGTAGCTGGGACTACAGGCGTGTATCACCACACGAGGCTAATTTTTCTATTTTTTGTAGAAATGGGGTCTTGCTCTGGTCTCGAACTCCTGACCTCAAGTGATCCTCCAGCCTCGGCCTTCCAGAATGTTAAGATTACAGGTGTGAGCCACCACGCCCAGCCTATACATATGTTTTATTCAATCCTTTCAAAAACACCGTGAGGAAGTTATAATCATGTTCACTTTGCATATTAGCTAATAGAAATTTAGTAACTTACTCAAGGTCACATGGCTAGGAAGTGGCAGAACCAGAATTCAAACCTAGGTATGTGTCACCTCAAAGTCCATCTTCTAAACCATTAGTCTATTACTGTCTACCAAGGCACTGGGGGTCACTGAGAGATTTAAAACTTAATCCTTGCCCATTATGGGTTTATAATCTCCTAATACAGGTAGATAGATGGAGAGTAAATGATAATACAATGCAGCATGCAAGGTTATCACCTGATGAATGGGAGTGTAGCCAATTAATGCTACCTGGGGCAAATAGGAAGGCTTAGAGGAAGGTGGTTTGGGCTCAGGTTAGGGGGCAAGGCAGTGGAGCAATTCCTCATGCCTCTAAGAAGCTGGCAATATGGACAGCGTGTACAGGAAACAATTTAAAAAGCCATTTTGACTAGAGCTCAACTAATGCAGATGAAGTTAGGAGCTGGGTAATGGTCACATTTCCAAGGATCTTAAATGTGGGGCTGAACAGTTAAGTAGTGGGCAAGACACAACGAGGGGCAGGACTAGAGGTAGGGAGACCGGTTAGACTGTTGCAGTGGTCTAGGAGTAATGAGTCTCGGGACTAAAGTGGTAACAGCAGAAAACAGAAACAAAGGGTGGACACTGAAAAAATTGTAGTTATGACCTAGAGATTAACTAGATATTGGAGGAGAAGAGTAAGAGTCATGAATGATTCCAGGGTCTTGCAAAATTGAGATCTAGGAAAGAGGGGATAATGACAAAATAAGGAGTTACTTTGGGTAGAATGATGATAAGCTTGGTACTATTTTACGTAATGTCTATGCAAGCAGATATGAGAGGGTATATTCCAGTGACCTGGCTATAAATACACCCTCTGAAAGGTGAGAAACTATTTTCTTTTAAAAAGGATCAAAACTGGTATAGTGGAGTCTCCAGGAAAAGAGAATGAAAATGTAAAAATCAGTCGTACAGATAAAAGTTTAACTGCCAGTTTCTAAATAAAACTCAATCATTTACAACCCAAATAATCATTAAGCAGCTCTGTCACTTGCTTTAATAAATGAGATTAGAATAGATTTTTGTTTTGGCTTATTTTAATAAGCAACTATACTTTATATTTTGTGTATATAAATATACTAATTGAATACTATTACGTGACAGTTATGACATTAAAGGCAACAAGTCATTCATTTATTGAAAAAATAGTATTACTAAGGCTAAGGATGAGTTTCTTATATACAAATTCCTACAACATATAGGAAAGAAAAGAGAACAACCTACTTTCCTGTAAAGAATCAAGCTGTGAAACGATGAGAGTATATGTGGTCTTCTGCCTTAAGCATTTGTTTTAAACTGTTAGTTTAACTTAAGTATTAATAGATTGTTATTTCTTACATTGTTCTACCTCCCTTACATTGTTCTTTACGTTGCTTCATTTTCTTCACTGTTAAGTGAGAGGAATATTATGCCCTAAGCTCCTGCAGAACAGATTTTTTCACTGTACTGTTACAGAATTCCTACAGAAGCCTATAAAATGTCCCTCCTGCGTTTATGGGGACTTCCTCCTGCCCTGGTGCTTTATGGCAGTTCTTATTTCAGAGGAGTCTGATTCATGGATACCAAAATCCAACAGCCAGCAATAAGAATCATTCAACTTTTCATAAGTAATACATACAACTACGACAGAATTTAAACATAGAGACAAATAACTAATAAACTAACTGAAAATAATCAGGTATTTAACAACACAAAAACCCAAGGAAAATAATTGTTTATAGGTTTGGCCTATAAATTGTACTTCTTGGACTTACTGCAATGAAGAAGAACAAAGAAGTTTTGTACAGAGAAATATTAATATCTGTGCAAAGATATCACTGGAACACTAAATATAAGAGCAAAAAATTGGAAACAACTTCAGTGATAGGGCAAATGAAAAAATTATGGTAATTCAAAGGAATATCATGTGGACATTTAAGATAATAAATATGACTATTATGTAACAATATGGAAAAGTATTTATAAAATAGCATAAGGTTAAAAAAGCAGATCCCAAAATTGTATATGTATTATATTACAACTGTTTAAAATTATATATACCTTGAGTGAAGATTCTAAATGGTGAAATGAAAACAAGTATGTTACAATACTAGGATTAACAAAACTGTATTAAAATTTCCTTAATATTATAAAGCTGCTTTAACTAAAGATAATTTTTTATCTAGTTTTATTTATTTATTTTTTTTGAGACAGAGTCTGGCTCTGTTGCCCGGGCTAGAGTGCTGTGGCGTCAGCCCTAGCTCACAGCAACCTCAAACTCCTGGGCTCAAGTAATCCTTCTGCCTCAGCCTCTCGAGTAGCTGGGACTATAGGCATGCGCCACCATGCCCGGCTAATTTTTTCTATATAGTTTTAGTTGTCCGATTAATTTCTTTCTATTTTTAGTAGAGACGGGGTCTCGCTCTTGCTCAGGCTGGTCTTGAACTCCTGACCTCAAACAATCCACCCGCCTCGGCCTCCCAGAGTGCTAGGATTACAGGTGTGAGCCACCGCGCCCGACCTTATCTAGTTTTTTAAACTATATTTACATAATATCCATACTGTATGTTTAAGACATATAACAATGATCATTAAAACCTTACATCACTCTTGGGGGAAAAAAATTAGCAATCCTTATAATAAAAAGTTATATTTTCTTAAAAAAGAAAAAACTAAAAAAGAAAATGAGCAGAAAATATAAAATATGCTGAATACTTTTCATAAAAATTTGAATTTGAGAAAAAGAAAACTGAAAAATAAAAATGAAATTTCTGAGTAAGACAATTTTTCACAGTATGACTAGTAAAATTAGTCTTATAATTTTATAGTAGTCATCAGTCCTATAATTTGTTGGGATACATATTTTACATGTATATTTCCTATTCCTTCTATATCTATAGTACAATTGAATGATGAGTTCTTGCTTTAGCTTTAGTTGATGGTAATAACAATCTAAATAAGTGTGCATTTGGTTTGGAAAAGTTAAAACACAAACATACACATCCCAATTTATTAGCGTGGGTACTACACTTTTTGATAATTCTACCTATAGAAAATTCTGCTGAATGTGGTGCTGCTTTCTATTGTAATTTTTAAATAATCAGATATAAGCCAAAGCAGCCAGTATAAACTATGTGTACAGACTGTTTTCCTGTCTTTGTTATTTACCATGTATGTAAAGGTCTCAGTTTATTAGTAGAACACAATTTAAAGACAAATTTGATAAATGTATTAGATGACTGAGGAATTAAAAATAAAATATTCTTAGGTTAAAGGAATAAAGAGTTCATTAGTTTCACCCTAAAACTACTTCAATAATTCTTAATTCTATAGCAAAATCATATTTATTACATAGTTATACAAACACACACAAACATTTTTCTACATAGCTAC